TCCAGCAACCCTCAGTTTGTTTCCTGAGATTAAGAGTCTCTTACTGTTTGTTAAAATCTCATTTCTTTTTTTTTTTTAATTTTATTATGTTATGTTAGTCACCATACAGTACATCATTGGTTTTTGATGTGGTGATCCACGATCCATTGTTTTCATATTAACACCCAGTGCTCCATGCAGTACGTGCCCTCCTTAATACCCGTCACCGGGCTAACCCATCCCCTCTCCCCCCTCCCCTCTAAAACCCTGTTTGTTTCTCAGAGTCCCTAGTTTCTCATGGTTCATCTCTCCCTCCAATTCCCCCTCTTCATTTTTCCCTTCCTTCTGCTAATGTCCTCCATGATATTCCTTATGTTCCACAAATAAGTGAAACCATATGATAATTGACTTTCTCTACTTGACTTATTTCTTACCATCCTTTTCTTCACACACCATTCTGGCCTTCTTGAACAAACTAAATAATTTTCTGCCTCAGCACCTTGGCACTTGATATTGACACTATATCAAATGCTTTTCCCCTCACCTCAGCTCAAGTGAGGAGAAAATAAAGAGTAATGGAGGCATAGAGTGACAGAAACCGTCTGGTATTCTCACTGTAAGCATCTTTGCTGTAGGTATTTTTGTTACAAACATTTTTTTTCCACATAACTAATTGGCTGTAAGGCAATTTTGCCATAAAAAGTTTAAAAATAACTGGTTGACAGTTTGGTTTCATTTCTTCATTGACTCAGAACTCATATTTTTCTATTATATAAAATTGTAGCCTTCATAATGATCTGTACCGTGGTACGCCTTGAGCCTACATTTCCCACAGAATTTTGGAATATCCGTCAATGGACATGTAACAATATGCTGAGAATATACAACAGTGTAGAAAGCTTTCACAATGCAATACAAAGCTCAGTTACAGATACACATCCCAGTATTTGGAAACTGATACCTCTCTTAATGATGGAAGAAATTTTAGTGAAAAAAGAAAAAAATGTAATGCTGAACAAGGAGACAAATCAACAAGCAAAAATAAAATGTATAATACTATGAGCAAAAGACTTTGAAGACAAGTGCTTGGGTATAATCCACAAAATAAAATCAGTTACTTGTGGAGTATTGCCATGAATCTGCACTATACATTTTGAATGTATTCAAACGTTTTTTAATTGCCCGACAATGTCCTTTGAATTTTGTTATTCATTTTTCATGTTTCATTATGTCCTTTTTAACGAATATCCTTCTTTTATTTTTCATGATTTTATCTTTCATGGCAAAATTGCTTTATGGCCATTTAGTTAGGCAGCAAAATGTTTGTATTGAAAATGCTTGCAGCAAAGATGCTTACTGAGCAACAACCTAGCACGAGCAGAAACATGCCGTCTTATATGGGGTGGCCAGTGAGAGCCTCACTGGCAAGCTGAAACATAAGTAGATGTCAAATGAGGTGTAGGAATAATCCATGGTGCTGAGGCTGAGAAGACCTCAGGGCAAAGGCTGAGGCAAGACACGTGGGATCTTTCGAGGAATGGGAAGGGGACTACGACTGGCTGGGGAGGTAATGAGGGGTGAGTGGAAAGTGGTTTTTAAGGTCATGTAGACCTCATAGGCCATGATAAAAAACTTTGGATTCTTGTCTCAGTAAGAGGAAAAGACACTGGAGACTTTTGAGCTAGGGAACGATATAATCTCAGTTAAGTTTTTAAAAGATTGCTCTGTAAGTCACATGGAGAATAGACTTTAGGAGGGTGGGATGAGAGGTCAGTAAGGAGACTGTTGTAATGACCTAGGCAAGGGTGTTGCTGGCCTGGACTAAGCTGGTAGCAGTGCAGGTATTCAGAAATCGGCAGATTCTGAAAATACACATATAACACACCAACATGTATGTAAGTGTATATTTTATATGTTTTATTTATTTATAAATATATAATTTAAATTATATACAAATATATATAATATAAAAATATGTAACATAGAAATATATTTATACAGATAAATAGAATATATAATATATAAATATGAATGTGTCATATGTGCAAATACATAAAACTTATAAATTATAAATAAAATATGTGCAGAATATGGCAATTACATATAATTAAATATAATATACAAAATATCTCTATAAATTATATAATATATAATATGTAAATATATATAAACTGTAAAAATATTATATTTATATAATACATAAATATTATAAATAATATGTAAAGTTATAAAGCTATTTTATACGTATAAATATACACATATACAGTTTATATATTATACATAAATAAATATATAGTATTTTGTATATAACACTGTAGTATAATATATATAGTTTTATACATATAAGTATGTAATATGTTATATATAGTATATAAATATAAATACATATATATGTATATATAAAAGTCCCCAATATTCCTGGCCATCTGGAAGGCCACACACAGGTCTAGGGAAGTGCGTATACCCAGGGCTGGGCACAGGCTCAGGAAAGACCTAAGAAAGCCCTCACCTCTCACCTCTGGCTAACCAGGAGGCTCTGTGCAAGCAGGAAGTGACAGCTAAGGTGGAATTGTAAACTGCCTAGCTGTGCATTGAAGGCATGCATCAACAGAGGCTTTCATAGCCCCTTGACAAATACTGGGAGACTTACCAGTTCCAGCTATTTAGGGAAATCTCTTTCCAGTCATTAGCTGACCACTAAACTGAGCTGACACTTCAGGGACCACATGGCAAAATACAACAACTTAACAGAATTAGTTCAGAAAAATAGCACTAAATAAACAACAAAACCAACAGGAATAATAACCGATGGCAATGACAACAAACTGGGAAAAGGAAGATATCTGATCTCCAGAGTTATCATATATTATTTAAGATGTTAGGTTTTTGAGAAAAAATTACTTGACATGCAAAAAAAGCAACAAAGTATGGCTCCATACTCAGGAAACATAGAAACTGTACCTGAGGAAGATCAGACACGGGAATTACTAGACAAAGACTTTAAATCAGGTACTTAAAACATGTTTAATAAAGCCATGTGTAAAGAAGTAAGAAAATGATTTCTCACCAAGCAGCAAATATCAACAAAGAAATAGGAATTATTAAAAAAAAAAAAAGGGCCAAATATAAATTCTGAGAATGAAAAGTACAATATTTGGGAAAAAAAGAGAAAAGTACAATATTTGAAATAAAAAACAATGAAAAAAAGTGGATGTATTCAGAAACCACATTGCTTCTGTACTCATATATACATATCCACATATATGTACATATAAGGCCAATTTTCATTATTCGGAGTAGATACATTCTATAAAGTCATCCCAAACACAGAATTTGCTAATTTTGAACCATTGCTTCTAGAGGAAATACAGGGTTCTGTTCCTGTGAGCCTGTGGCCACAACATACTAATCAATACATACATCTGTATTTTTGTGAGTGCTTCTATTTAAAGATATCTTGTTTAATATATACGTTAATTCATAGGGTTTGAACTCATAGCCAACACCACTAGAACACATGAATAAAGCTTATCTAACACACAGATTTTCTCCATAAGGGACATCACAACCTTTTTGGAACATGAGATAGCACATCAGCACTACTACCATTTTAAACAACAAAATCACCAACAAAAGCACTAAATAAATGTGTCCTCAGTGACTTGAATGATCCACTGCTCTGCCCATGTCTATGAATGGCCATGAAATTGCCATGAGTTTTGATTTGGGGGTTAAAGATAACTTTTAGCAAGTGGGTGAGTTCACAGATATGGAATCCATGAATAATGAAGACTGACCATATGCATGTATTTTTTTTCATTCTTTCTAAAGTTAGTGTTTTCTTAAATTAGATAATGCACAGGTTCTCATAGGAAATATTTTCATTATTGTTATTTGCTAGATAGTCTGTAATTTGGATTTATATTTCCTCTTGGCCCCAAGTGGGAAGAAAGGTACATCCTCTATTTTTTGGACATGGAGTTGAATATGAATTAATCATATCAATCTTGTTCAATGTATTAACTGGGCCTCCTCCTTTTGTGCACTTGACCTCTCATGGACTGAGAGAGGTAAAAATTTGCTACTAGGAGTAGTTGCTACCTAATTTTCATTGTATCTCCCATAATTACTACTGGCTTAAAACTTTTTGGCCTGAATTACATCTCCTTTCATATTCAGACCATGACTCCCTGGTTTCTTTTTGTTGATGTATGCTAAATATACTTTTGCCTATACATTTATTTTCAACATTTGTAAAATATCTTTTTCCACAAGTCTTCTGTATACGATTAAAATTTGGAGTTTAGGGGCTCCTCGTGGCTCAGTTGGTTGGGCATCTGCCTTCGGCTCGGGTCATGATCCCAGGGTGCTGGGATCAAGCCCCACAACGCGCCCTGCATTGGGCTCTCTGCTCGGTGGGGAGCCTGCTTCTCCCTCTCCCTCTGCCTGCCGCTCACCCTGCTTGTGCTCACTCTCTCTCTCTCTCTGACAAATAAATAAATAAATCCAAAAAAAGTTGGAGTTTACTCTGTAATTCAATCTCAAATGCTTTATTTAAATAAGTGAATTACATCCATTTACTTTTATTGATAGGACCAAAATGCAGTTCTGTTTCTGTCATACTAATTTTATATATTACATATTACATATTACATATTATATATTATATATTCTGGGGTCTTGGATATTGAAAATGTCGACACTCTGCATTCTGTCTTCTATGCATTTATGTGCATGTGTGTACTTCCGATAGGAAGGTTTGCATTTCTGTTCCAGTGTTACATTTGGGTACATGGATACCTAGCTAGATTAAACCTCTCAATCTTCCCTGTGGCTTGCCCTGGTCTTGTGACTAAGTTCTGGCCAATGGACTCTGAGCTGAAGAAATGTGAGCCACTTCTGGGTCTTTCCCTTAAAAGAAAAGAATGGTTGAATTGTATTCATTTCTCATATTTTCATTGGTTGGGAGTAAGTATATACTTCTTTTTTTTTTTAAGATTTTATTTTTATTTATTTGACAGAGAGAGACACAGCGAGAGAGGGAACACAAGCAGGGGGAGTGGGAGAGGGAGAAGCAGGCTTCCCGCCGAGCAGGGAGCCCGAGGCGGGGCTCGATCCCAGGAGTAAGTATATACTTCTGATATTTAGAAATGTTTGTATTTTTGTTCTAGTGATTACTCTTAGAATTACTTTTATATACTCTCTCTTTAGATAGTACCCATTAATTTCCTACCCCCAAAATTGATAAATTAGCATGTGTCCTATTCCTCGGTCCACTCTTTCCTCTCCCACCCAAGTTTAGTCATAATGTTACTTTTTTAATTTTTGGTGTCAAATAGTTTTTTCTTAATTCCAGTATAGTTGACATACACTGTTATATTAGTTTCAGGTGTACAATATAGTGATTCAACAATTCTATATTACTCAGTGCTCATCAGGATAAGTGTACTCATAATCCCCTTCACCTAATTCACCCATCCCCACTACGTACCTCCTCTTTGGTAACCATCCGTTTGTTCTCTGTAGTTGAGAGTCAGTTTTTGGTTTGTCTCTTTTTTTCTTTGTTCATTTGTTTGTTTCTTCAATTCCACAAATGAGTGAAATCATGTGGTATTTGTCTTTGATTTATTTCACTTAGCATTATATTCTCTAGATCCATCATGATGTTACCTTTATGTGTATCTTTCAGCTCTTAAATGTGCTTGATATTACTCCTTGATTTGTCCAAATAACATGCTGTCAGTCCAACAGACAATGATCTTGCTCTACCATCCATATTTCCCCCTTCTCACACATTTTTTTGTTATTACACCATTTCTATATTGTCAGGGCTTGTATGTTTAACATCCCAGTCTGTCACCTCATCCCCACTTTTATTTTAATCCTTTTTACTAAAATTTTTCCACTCTTGTCTTGGTTTGCTGAGGTGGATCTTCAAGTAGTTTTCTCAATAATTACTCATAGGAACAACATTCCCAGAATTTTCCTGTTCAAAAGTATTTGGTTTTATTTTTTATATGTGAAAAATAATTTACCCACTATTTGTAGAAGCATCTTGTAGATTTTTCTCCACTTTCCTGTGGCATTAGGTGTTACTGTAGAAAATTCTATAACCAGTAAGATCCCCCTCCCTTGAAAATGACTTGACATTTTTTATCTCGACTGCCCATTCCATTCTTTCTTTATCTTTAAAGTCCACTAAATTTGCTTGAATGTATCTCAGGGTTGATGGTTTGGAGTCAATTTTTATGCTTTAGGGTGAAAATATATGTACTTAGGTATATTCAATTTTTTGTTATATTTCAGAAACTTTATTCTCGAATTTATCTCAAAGTGCTTCTATTATTTTGATTTTCTTCTTTAGGAAATATGCTGACTTGTTAACTATCTTCCATTGATTATTTTCTTTCTAATATTCCTTAATTGTTCTAAACTTCCTGGTTCTTTTTTTTATAAATCTATGTCCTTCACTTTAATTTCTGAAACATCTAAACTCTTTTATCGCTTCTAAATTTGTCTTCATTTCTCTGATGGTTTTTTTTCCCTACTTCATACTTAAGTTCTTGCTGTTATAAACATGGATGATAGCTTCAGCTTTTCAAGACAAACCCCTAAATTCCAGGACATATACTTGTGATTTCTGAGATCTACTTTCCCTTGACCCTTCTGACAGTCCCCCTCTTCTCTGTCAGCATCTGCCTGGTTTCAGCTGCCTTTTGCATTTTCCTTATTGTGAATGAGAAAATCTCATGTAAGTAGGTAAAAATATACTGTAAATGACTAGCATAAATGTAGGTTGTTTTTGTTGCTATTTTTGTTTTCAGTGTTATGACAACCAAGATGATGTATTGGTAGCTGGAGATTTAGCACTACAAAAGTGGAATGAAGACTTTAAAGTACTTGAAGGTTACTGACATGTAAAGCTTATTTTCTTTTCTGTTTGAAGGGAAAAAGAGAAGATATATACATAAAAAAAGCAGTCTCCAAAAAGGTAAAAGTCTGAGAATTCACACCTGGGCACTTACTGCAACCCTGATCTTCCTGCCAGACCCATCTTTGCTGCACCCCTGAAATCTCCCAACTGGCTTTATAAATAATGAATTGTTTCGAGTACAGGCTAAGTTGTTGTAACAAAGAGAGCCCGAAATACAGTCGCTTAAACCATATAATTTATTTCTCTTCATCAAACAGTCCAGAAAGGGAAGGAAGAAACTGCCTTCCTCAACACACAGTTTCCCTCTCTGGGTCCAAAAAAGCTAGTCTGGTTGCCATTGTCTCCCAACCAGTGGGAATGGGGAAAATGGGCCGGGATATCACCTATCGATTTCTTTTAATGGAAAGATCCAGAGTCTTCTGTTCACATCCTATTGCCCAAAACTTGGTCACATGGCCAGAGCTAGCTGCCAGTGAGGCCAAGAAATATAATCTGTAGTGAGCAGCCATGGGTTCAGCTGTAACTCTATTCCTATGGAAGAAAGAGAGAATGATTGTGGGGGACAAAGAGAAATCTGCCTACTTGCCTTTCACGTTTTTATCCAAAGTCACTGACTTTTTCATATTTGGAGGAAAACTCAGACTCTGTTGGTTCAAACCTGGCCTCTTGTCACCTAAGACCCTTGGCAAGAATAGGAGCTGGAACCTGATTGTAACACATGGCCAGAGACAAGCTAGCCCTGAATGGGAAATAAGGGACCAGGGGAAAATGTTAGAAAGGTTTGTTGTAACTAATGAACATAGCCCTCAACAGAACAAGGAGAAACAGACAGAGGGAACTTGAATTAATTAAGCAGAAGCTAGAGTCCTGGTATCACATCAGATCTAAGCCTGGGACACAGTTATTTAAACCAAACTCAAGTAGAGCATGTGTCTTACTGTGTCCATGCAGCAGACGATGAAAAAGATGAGTGATGCTTCATTCTCTGCACCCGGTTCTGCAATTGCTATTTCCATTGTGTTTCTCCTTTTCTTCCTCCTCTTTGTCTCCTTTCTTTCCCCCTTCCCTCTCCCATTCTACTTGTTCTTCTTATAGAATTTCTTTCTTTTGTTCATTCTTTAACATCATACCATATGAAACACTGCTACTAAGCTTATATGGCACTCAGAGGTGGCTGGGCTTTTCTTGGGGAGTCGAAACATATCTGGATACATTTTGTTTCCTTTCCATTTCTTCTGATTATTTCTGTCATCTTATCATTTTATATATATGCACACACACACACACACATATATATAACTGTGCTCCTCCCATTTTATATATATATGTATTACACACATATATTTATGTAAATAATATAAAATTTAAACATATAAATAAATATATACATATATCTCTAGCATCTCTATCGTTTTATCTCCATATTTGCCTATTTCAGCTTAATTATTTCTTTTTCTTTTTTTAAATTTTATTTTATTTTATTATGTTATGTTAGTCACCATAAAATACATCATTAGTTTTTGATGTAGTGATCCATGATTCATTGTTTTTGTATAACACCCAGTGCTCCATGCAGTACGTGCCCTCCTTAATACCCATCACCGAGCTAACCAATCCCCCCACCCCCCTCCCCTCTAGAACCTTCAGTTTGTTTTTCAGAGTCCATAGTCTCTCATGGTTCATCTCCCCCTCCGATTTCCCCCCCTTCATTTTTCCCTTCCTTCTCCTAATGTCCTTCATGCTATTCCTTATGTTCCACAAATAAGTGAAACCATATGATAATTGACTTTCTTAGTTTGACTTATTTCATCTTAGCTATTTCTTAGGTTATACTTACCCAGGTCCAAGATTTTTGTTCCTCTGAGTTTTTGTGAAACCTGTCTTACCTGCTTTGTTAAAATGTTGGAATTGGTAGTTTAAGCACAAATTACTTTTGTTCCTTCTACTTCCTTTCCAAAACTGTTCTCTGAAACAGTTCTCTTCCTGCCCCAAGATGAAGTCTTAGGTAAGCCCCGGAGCTGTGCCAATCCCTTTTTGGCAGCAATGATATACTTATTCAATATTAAAGAGCCTGAGCTAATATAATATTGCAACTGGAAAACATGCAGTAAGGAAGTTGGGTGAGGCCAGCCTCTTCTCTTATCCACAATCTTGTCTAACCCTGCTCAGTATCTATGCTTTTAGCTAGTTCAAGTTGTGGAAGAGGGAGAGAAGGACGTAAGGGGCAGGAATAGCCCTCTTATGGGCTATGTCCTTCATGTCTCCCACATATAGAGGATGCATGAGCCATGTTTGTGGGTTCTTTAAAGAGCCCCTCTTTAGAAAGAATCTCTCCACCGAAGTTCCTCTAATGTAGGAGCTCCAGCTGATTACCTACCACTTCCCCTTAAGGGAGGTCCACACCCCTGCCAGGGTCATCTCGTCCATTCTGATCATCTTTCTGGACAGAATACTTTCAGGAAAAGCTAACTGAGCTCCTCCCTTCCCCAGAGGATCCCATGAGAATCATGCCTTCTCATGGTCCTACTGTCAGTGGGTGTGTAGCTGGTTCCCCATACAGTCACCATCTCTAGACTTGATTATATTCCCTATGCTATAATTTTTATACCTGTGACTTATTCATCCCATAACCAGAAGCCTGTATCTCCCACTCTCCTTCACCCATTTTGCTCATCTCCCACTCTCCTTCACCCATTTTGCTCATCCCCCACCTCCTCCTCTCTGGCATCAGTTTGTTCTCTGTATTTATGGATCTGTTTCTGCTTTTTGTTTGTCTGTTTTTTCATTTGTTTTACTTCTTACATGTCACATATAAGTGGAATTAAATGGTGTTTGTCTTTCTCTATCTGACTTATTTCATTTAGCAGAATACCTTCTAAGTCCATCCAGGTTGTCACAAATGGCAAGATCTTATCCTTTTTATGGCTGAGTAATATTCCATCTCTCATGCGTGTGCGTGCACGCGCGCACACACACACACACTCCACATCTTCTTTAACCATTCATCTATCAGTGAATACTTCAATTGCTCCCATATTTTGACTATTATAAATAATGCTGCAATAAACATAAGAATGCATAAATCTTTTTGAATTAGTATTTTTGTTTTCTATGGATAAATACCCAGTAGTGGAATTACCGGATCGTATGGTATTTCTATTTTTAATTTTTTGAGGAACCTCCATACTATTTTCCATAGTGGCTGCCCCAGTTTACATTCCCACCAACAGTGCACAAGGGTGCATTTTACTCCACATCCTCCCCAACACTTTTTTTTTTATTATGTTATGTTAATCACCATACATTACATCATTAGTTTTTGATGTAGTGTTCCATGATTCACTGTTTGCATATAACATCAGTGCTCCATGCAGAATGTGCACTCTCTAATACCAATAACCAGGCTAACCCATCCCCCCACCCCCCTCCCCTCTAGAACCCTCAGTTTGTTTCTCAGAGTCCATAGTCTCTCATGGTTCATCTCTCCCTCCGATTTCCCCCCCTTCATTCTTCCCCTCCTGCTATCTTCTTCTTTTTTTTTATTTTACATATAATGTATTATTTGTTTCAGACGTACAGGTCTGTGATTCAATAGTCCTACACAATTCACAGCGCTCACCATAGCACATACCCTCCCCAATGTCTATCACCCAGCCACCCCATCCCTCCCACCCCCCACCACTCCAGCAAACCTCAGTTTGTTTCCTGAGATTAAGAATTCCTCATATCAGTGAGGTCATATGATACATCTTTCTCTGATTGACTTATTTCGCTCAGCATAATACCCTCCAGTTCTATCCACGTTGTTGCAAATGGCAAGATTTCATTCCTTTTGATGGCTACATAATATTCCATTGTATATATATACCAAATCTTCTTTATCCATTCATCTGCTGATGGACATCTTGGCTCTTTCCATAGTTTGGCTATTGTGAACATTGCTGCTATAAACACTGGGGTGCACATACTCCTTCAGATCCCTACATTTGTATCTTTGGGGTAAATACCCAGTAGTGCAATTGCTGGATCGTATGGTAGCTCTTTTCAACTTTTTTAGGAACCTCCATACTGTTTTCCAGAGTGGCTACACCAGCCTGCATTCCCACCAACAGTGTAGGAGGGTTCCCCTTTCTCTGCATCCCCGCCAACATCTGTCATTTCCTGACTTGTTAATTTTAGCCATTCTGACTGGTGTGAGGTGGTATCTCATTGAGGTTTTGATTTGGATTTCCCTGATGCCGAGTGATGTTGAGCACTTTTTCATGTGTCTGTTGGCCATTTGGATGTCTTCTTTGGAAAAATGTCTGTTCATGTCTTCTGCCCATTTCTTGATTGGATCATTTGTTCTTTGGGTGTTGAGTTTAATAAGTTCTTTCTAGATTTTGGATACTAGCCCATTATCTGATATGTCATTTGCCAATATCTTCTCCCATTCTGTCGGTTGTCTTTTGGTTTTTTTTTTTTTTTTTTTTTTTTTAAAGATTTATTTATTTATTTGAGAGAGTGAGAATGAGAGAGAGTACATGGGGGGGGGGAGAGTCAGAGGGAGAAGCAGGCTCCTCGCTGAGCAGGGAGCCCGATGCGGGACTTGATCCTGGGACTCCAGGATCATGACCTGAGCCGAAGGCAGTCGCTTAACCAACTGAGCCACCCAGGCGCCCTGTCTTTTGGTTTTGTTGACTGTTTCTTTTGCTGTGCAAAAGCTTTTTATCTTGATGAAGTCCCAACAGTTCATTTTTGCCCTTGCTTCCCTTGCCTTTGGCGATGTTTCTAGGAAGAAGTTGCTGCAGATGAGGTTGAAGAGGTTGCTGCCTGTGTTCTCCTTTAGGATTTTGATGGACTCCTGTCTCACATTTAGGTCTTTCATCCATTTTGAGTCTATTTTTGTGTGTGGTATAAGGAAATGGTCCAGTTTCATTCTTCTGCATGTGGCTGTCCAATTTTCCCAACACCATTTGTTGAAGAGACTGTCTTTTTTCCATTGGACATTCTTTTCTGCTTTGTCGAAGATTAGTTGACCATAGAGTTGAGGGTCCATTTCTGGGCTCTCTATTCTG